CCCCAAAACCCCAAAACCCCAAAACCCCAATAAAAATCCAGATATTGTAAAATTAATAAAAATGGAAGATTCAGTGAAGAAGGAAAGAAAGGAGAGGTAATCCCATCCATCAACTTATTAGGTTTCTGAACATGAAACAACGAGACAATGTCATTTTCCTTAGAGAAGAATACATGTAAGATACTGATGCTCAGCAAATAGGATCAAACTGAGAAAGGAGAGAAAATAGCAAAATATTTGCTCAACATAGAAAGAAGATGGTCCAGGCACAAGCAGCCATGCAAGCTGTTGATGATATGGACAGTGAGGTATCTGAATGTGAAGATATGGATATGCTTGATAAAGAACTACCAGAGAAGGAATGTATGCTTTTGTTATTGAAACTATCTCATGATTTCATAAATGAGTATACAAACTCTCCAAACCCAACTTTGTTGCCAAAGATTAAATATATTCTAAAGGCACTTACTTGTAGTTATGATATTTTAGTATCAGAATTAGATTCAATTTTGAACAACGATTTTCTCTCTATAGATAAGCTATTTGATGAATATTACCTTTTCATCCCAATTATTCTTGAAAATATGAGCGAGCCTGAGAACGAAGACTCTTTCTATGATACGAGTAATAACCTCAAGTGAGTCAAGTATCTTCTTTGCCTTCTTCTACTCTTGCAGCAAAGTGAGGATTATGCTCAAAGGATTTTCAATCAAAAAGACTTGATTAGAGGAGTTTATCAAATCAGTAAGCAAATTTTTGGATTAACCTTTGTGAAACAAGAACTATTCTCACTGAACTCTGTAGTTTCTACACATTGCAATCTAGTATCGTACAGTCCTCAATATGGAGATAAGGTAAGTACTCTCTTCAAAATTTGATAATTTAATATTGTAGGAAACTAAAGTTTCGAGTGAGGAAGGTAAGCCAAGAATTTTGAAGATATTTTTGGAAAATTTTCATGTAGAAATTAGCAAATTTCAAAAGAACTTAGACATACTTGACCTTTTTTTTAAAAGATGGGCTATATATTTTTGCTTTGTTGCTATCAAATCTTTTAGGCAATGTGGGAATTCCTCCTTCGATCATAAAGATAGCTCTCCAAAATATTTTGCTTGCAATGAGCTTATAATGTACCAATATTCCAATAATGAGGAGAAGCTTGAGATTATAGTAGAGGAGACTTCATTTATGGAATTATGTCCAGAATTGCTCAGAATAGCCTCTGAAACGAACTTACCTCTTCTCTGGAATTGCATCAGCTATATACTTGGTAGTATTGCTTCTACAAGAAAGATAGAAGTAAAAGATGTTCCTGAAGTTTGAGAGCTGTTCAATGAGAACCTCAGGAGTCCACATTCAACTAACCTATGAACTTTATTTGCAATATCTCTCTTTGCTTATAGTGAGGAAATTGCCACTCAATTTCCAACCTTGTTTAAGCTATCAATCGAGCTGCCTCTCTGGCACAAAAGCGATGGAATTTATGAAGAAGATTCCAATCTATTTGGAATTAATTTTAAAGAAGTATGCTTTGAGATACTGCTTACACATTTCTGAAGTAATTCTGAATACGCTCAAATACTTGCAGAGAATGATTTCTGGCCTCAAATCAAAGAACTAATTAAGGATCCAAATCTAGAGGATATCATTGGACATCTTGCTGTTATTGTTGAAAGCCCTAAATATTACTAGTGATTTTAAAAATTCAATAGGTTGAAATATCATTGGGGTTTTGGGGTTTTGGGGTTTTGGGGTTTTGGGG